AGGGCTTTAACTGTAATGAACTTAGCTGGAGCAGATGAAAATTGAAAAGTGATTTCATTAGTGCTGATCAGGCCCAAGTGAGTGTGTGGGTAAGGAAAAAAAAAAGGAAAAGAATAGATGGAGAAGTAAAGCTTCCCCAAACAAGAACTCTGCTGAAAATATATAGCCCACTGTTCTGTCCCACTGGGATTGAGTCCCTGCAGAAGGTATAGCAAATATCACTATTTTATGTGTCTAGCTAGCTACTTTACCTGCTTAAGGCAGGAGGGTGTTGAGGAGGCAAAGGAATTATCTCGACCTTCTTTCCCATGGGACAACTGCCAAGGCATAAGAGATCACGGAAAAACCACTGCCTTAAATTCATTAACTAGCTATATGGTCTTAAGCTCATGGACTCATAGACTTTGAGCTCAAAGGGCCCTCAGACAGCAACTTATCCAACCCTTCATTTTTATGGATAAGAAAACTGAACTCCAGAGAGTTGACTTGACTTCCTCAAGGTCACACAGGTAGGATGTGGCAAAACCAGGATCCTCCACTTCCAAATCTAGGGCTCTTTCCAATACACCAAGTTATTTGTCCGTTGTGAGCCTCTGTTTTCTCCTCAGTAAGATAAGGGTATTGGACTGGGGGATCTCTAAAGTTCCTTTCAGCTTCAATGCCCTATGGTTCTAGGACTAACTTGCCCAATAGCGTACAGTAATTACAACCACAGAAACTTAGAATTGGGAGAGACTTTACAGAAAAACAGGTGGGGTTCATGTTGCCGAGAACATGCAGCTTTCAACCATTCTCCCCTCCAGAAAATTTATCTCTGCTGAAGAATGCAGTCATGGGATATGGATTGATGCCTGTGATTACAGAGGATTACAAAAATTCATGGCAAGAAACAGTAATATTAATCTGAGTACTTATCTATCACCTCATTCATTTTACTTAAAGGGCACCTTTCCTCTCTAAAGATTTAAAAGGCTTCCCTTATGTGGCAGTTTTATCCTTAGAGGACAAGACACTTTTTTCCCCCTACCCACACTTCTATTTTACTGCCTGAGCAACTAAAGCACCACTAATCATCATTAGAGTTAACTAGAACTATTTCTGGCATGAACCAATAAGATCAGCCCCCAACTGACCAGCCAATGAATTGAATTCCTCTTAGTTGTCAGTAATGAAGAGAATGCAGCCAACTCAGATCTTGTAGCAAGTTGGACATAAAAACCTATTCCAAAGTGCAAACAGAACTTCCACGTTCTTTAATCCTGGGTTTGCCAATAGTGAAGGGAGAGATTCTAACAGCTACAAAGGGACCAGTACCAACAGTAGGGAACGCCAAGGAGTATATTCATACAAGAAGGGGGTCAGGAGAGAGTAGGACAGAATAATCCATCTTTGACATAACTGCCAAAATCACCTTCCTAAAGCACAGGATTGACCATTTCATATCTCTACTCAAGAAGCTTCAATGGCTTACTACTGTATCTAGGATAAAATATACTCCTTAAATTGGCATTTAAAGATGTCCAAAGTCTGGCTCCAGCCTATTTTTCCAGACATTACTCTCCTTCATGTATACTAACTAGGTCATAGCCAAATTAAACATTTGCTGTTTCATGAACTTGGCATTCCCTTGGGCCCCTTTAAATGGCAGTGCTGCATGCCTGGAATATATTTCTTCTTCTCCTCTGCCTCATGGAATTGTTTGCTTCCTTCAAAGCTAAACTTGGGTTCCTCCATCTTGGAGAGGCTTCCTTTCCTCAGATATTCTGCAAGTGGGCAACCGCTCTCTAAACCGTTGCCTAACTTGCTTAGAGTAATTAACTCTTAACAGATCTCTCTGTGTTTACTGCTCAGAGGGAAGCACTATCCCACAGTCATCAGAAAATGGGCACCCACCAAGAAGGTGAAGAAGGAAAGAGAGAGATTCTAAAGAAGACCTGGACAGACTCATTACAACCATGTCTGAGTCTGATGAGCAGGTGAGACTGGAGAAAAATATATGATGAAGCCTGGCTAGTTACCAGAGTAGTCAGTCTCCTGTCGCTTTATGACTATGCCCAGCATCAGCTTGTAATCATTTACACCCTTTTGCATCTAGTGAACAAGAGAAAACATTTAAATGTACCCAAGGGCCCAAAGAATGACATTAATCTTACTGATTACAACCTCATTCAGCGACAGGTGACTGCTGTGATTGGTGGTGCATGGTGGTGGGCAAACATGCTGCAGACACTCATTTACCAATGTTCTGGGAAGTGGCACCCAATCTATCCAAGTGTCTATACAGCAGAATCCTGGGGAAATGGATACCTGCAAGGTGCTGTATCAAATGATACATCATGGCAGCCTTAATAGATGCCCTTAGAGCAGCTACTCTCATTGACTGTGAGCTCCTTGAAAGCAGGGACTGTCTTTTGCTTTTCTTTGTATCCCCAGAGCTTAGCGAAGTACCTGGCACACAGTAGGCACTTAAAAAATGCTTATTGACTGATTCTTCACCCCCAAACCTACATCACTTAGGAGATTCTTATGGTGTCTACTGTAGAGAGCCAAGAACACCATGGGTACCAACAAAAAAATCCACTCAAGACTCTTGAATCCTAGGGTTTTCCATTTGTCCCTCTTAGATTGGAATTAATATCACGAACCTTAAGAATCAACAGTATTGACTAGAAAACTAAGTTAAATATTACAGTGAGTTTGCATTTGGAACATGGGGCTCAGGATTATGAGATCTAAAGCTTAAAAGGACGGTAACAGATCATCTACAATTTTTAGAGATATCCAGAGGAGAAGTGACTTGCCCAAGGTCACACAGCTATAAGAAGCTCAATGGACAATGCACAGTATGAAAGTAGGATTCAGACCCAGGTTCTATGACTCTAGATGGAATACGCTTTCTCCAGAGAGGTGAAGTATCTCCTCCAAGGTCATACAGGTAAGGAAGGGGGCTGAAATTAAAATCCAAGACCCGTAATGTCAAGTTTGGCACTCTTTCAACTACTTTATATTGCTTTTTTATGATGCCAGCTGTATGACCTTGGAGAAATCACTTAAGTTCCTTGAACATCAGTTACCTTATCAATAAAGTGGGAATTCAGTCTTGACTTCCTCATAGGATTAGAAATATCTGATACAAGGGAATAGGAGTTGTTTAGTCATGTCTGATTCTTCATGACCCCATTTAGATTTTTCTTAGTAAAGATACTGGAGTAGTTTGCCATTTCCTTCTTCAGTTCATTTTACAGATGAGGAAACTGAGACAAAGAAGGTTAAGTGACTTGCCCCAGAGTCACACAGCTAGTAAGTGTCTGAGGCTGGATTTGAACTCAGATCTTCTTGACTTCAGGTCTGGCACTCTATCCATTGTGCTACCTACTTGCCTCAGTTAGCAGATGGGAGAATCAGAATAGAGATAACAAGAGGTGTCCTGCTTGACTCCTAATTCTCTCTTACCCCACCAGTATCTTTCAATCTCTTGCTAATGTCTGTCAATTTTATCTTTGCAACATCTCTTACATATTCCTCTCTCTCCTCTGACACTGCCACCACCCTGGTTCAAGCCCTACCACCTCACTCTTGTATTCTTTAAATAGTCCAGGTCTCCCTGCCACAAATCTCCCAACTCCAGCCCATCCTCCGCTTAGCCGGGAAAGTGATCTTCCTAAAGTACAGATTTGTCCATGGTGATCTCCTACTCAATTAATTCCAATGGCTCCCTATCACCTCCAGAATCAAATATAAAATCTGCTTGGCATTCAAAGACCTTCATAACCTAGCACCATCCTACCTTTTCAGTCTTCTTACACCTTATACGTACTCAGGGATCCAGTGATTCAGACTTCGTTGCTATTTCTCAAACACCTTATTTCATTTGCAGACTCAGCATTTTCCTGGTACTCTCCCATGCCACCAATGCTCTCCCTCCTCATCTCTGCCTCCCAGCTTCCCTGCCTTCCTTCAAGTTCCAGCTAAAATTCCACCTTCTACAAGATGCCTTTCTTGATGTTCCTTAATTCTAGTGCCTTCCTTCTGTCGATTATCTCAATTAATCCTGCATATAGCTTGCTTGTACATAGTTGCTTGCATTAGACTTTGCGCTCCTTGAGAGCAAGGACTGTTTTTTTGTTTGTTTTTGGTGGGGGACGCTTTCTCTGTATCTCCAGTGCTTAATACAGGGCCTGGCACATAGTAGGCGCTTAATAAATGTTCAGTGACTTTTGACTAATACTTGTAGTTCCTCCCTCACTAGGTTGTTATGAAGAAAGTAGCTTTGTAGCTCATAAATTACCATGTAAATGTAGCTATGATTTATAATCACATCTGTGTCACTCAAGTTTGGGGGTTCCCCCCCTAAATTGTGCCCCTTTATCCTCTCTTGGCTGTTTTTATAATATTTCCAGCTGCACACCTAGCTCTCCGGCAGAACGTGAGGCGACGCCTAGGTGGGTCAGAGTGCAATCCCAAAGGGAACATCGGGCACGTTACAAACCTCCAGCCAGCCTCAGAAGGCAATTTAGGAAGACAAGAATTAGGATAATAATTCAGTGTGAAAGTGTTTGGGGAAAAGTTAACCTATGCAAATGCTGAATGCTAAATGCAAATGTTAAATAATAACAACAGTTGCTGTTATTATTATCATTCCTCTCCCTCTAGGGCTAGGTCTCCCAAGGTCTCATTCTTACCTCCCCCTCCCCCACCAAGGTGTTTTCTTTTAGAATAGTATATAGTCCCCAAGTTCTCCCGCTCCCTCCTCCCCCGCCCCTCCCGGTCCACTAGAAATAGCCTCTTTCTCTTCTTACCAGCAAGAAATTACCTTGGGGCTCACCTGTGAATGTGCGTGTGTGTGTGTGCGTGTGTGTGCGTGTGTGCGTGTGTGTGTATTTGTGTGTGTGTGTGTGTGTGTGTGTGTGTCTGTGTCTGTGTGTCTGTGTCTGTGTGTCTGTGTCTGTGTCTTGCCAGGCCCTTATAACTTCCGAAAAGCTTCTGCCAGCGCAGCTCACCTCCAGGGATCATTACTCCTCAGTCTTCAGTCTTCTTTGCTTCCCAGGCTTGATTCAGAGGGCCCCCAGGGCTTGTCATTTTCTACGGGGCCGAAGTCTTAGCCTTGGCAAGCCCAGACTTCAGTCCTAGGTTCCTTCCGGCTCTTCTAAAGGGATGGGTCCTCTCCGGTCCCCTCCCACGGCTCCAAGAATCTATTCAGTTTCGTCCCGCCCCTTAACCGCTGGGCAGCTCTCTGACAGCTGTCCACACCCCCACCCAGCTCCTCAATTCACCTATTCCCAATGCTTTCTCCTCAGTCCTGCCAAGATCCTCTCCTCCCGCGGCCCAAGCAACAATCTTCTCTCCTTTCCAATTAGCCGCCCTGGGGGACTCTTCCTATTCTTCCCTCTTCCAGCCGCCACGCCCAGGACTCCTTCTGATCACCCCATCCGTCACCATCTTCCTCGAAGCTAGCCTCAACCCTATCTCAAGTTCCAAGAAGTGCGGGGAATGGGGGGAGGGGGTGCAGTCTGGGCGGCGGGTCCTAAACTGCTCTTGCCTCGCTGGACTGGTGGAGGTGAAGCCACAGGCCGAGAGGAGGGGAGCTTTGGGGGTCGTCGGTCCCTGACAATGGGGTGAGGAGGGTGAAGCAGAGAAGGAAGTTAGGTTGTGCGTATGTATGTGCGCGTGAGTGTTGAAGTAGGGTGCGGGTAGAGTATGAAATGTGTGGTTGTTCAATCGTTTCAGTCTTGTCTGATTCATGACCCCATTTGGGGTTTTCTTGGCAAAGATACTGGAGTGGTTTACCATTTCCTTCTCCAGCTCATTTACAGATATGGAACTGAAGCCAACATGGTTAAGTAACTTGCCTAGCGTCATACAGGTAGTGTCTAATATTAGATTTGAAGTCAGGGGGAGGAGTGTTTCAGACTCCAGACCCGGCACTGTCTACTGCACTATCTAAGCTGCATGATGAAATTAGAGACAGGACCAAAAGGCTAGAAGGTCCTTGTGCTTCAGTCTTGAGGACCAAGGGGTGAAAGAGAGTCAAAGAGAAAAGGACCTTGCTTGAGCGGAAGGGGTGACTCGGCAGATTAAGCAGTAGTTGCCCCTGGACCTAAACCTAAAGTATAAAGTTAGTGATGTTCATATAACCCCCAAGCTTTCGGTGGCAGTAGCGAGAGGGAAGAGTAAAATTGACGCTTGGAATTGATCCTGCAGAGTTCTAGAGACATCCTGGACTTTTGCTGCAAATTTCCCTTTTTCCTTATCTTCTTTCTTCACCCGTTCAAACGCTAGAATTTTCCTAGTAACCCATAGAAACTTACCAGACCAGTGCAAAGTTTTAACAATTTGAGGTTATTTTATGTTGAAGACTGGGGAAGTGGTTTTCACAACTAAAACCCACTTCAAGGGCAGATATGAAACCTACCTGTCATTGCTAGGCTTAGGGGAAAGATCGGAGGGGGGAAATTTGAGCTAGCAACGGGAAGAGTTTGGGGGGAAGGAGCTGAAGGAGAGAAGAGTGTTCCCCTACCACCACCACTAACCTTCCCTCCCCCCCTTAAAGTCGAGTGCAATCTCAAACCAGCTTATCTTCCTGATCCCAATGCCATTGCCTAAAGCTTGACAAACTCATTGAGTGACAAACATGTAAAGATAAGGGTAAAACAAAGACTTTAACTTAATTATGGAGTGAGAACTAGACTCTTCAGGCAACTTGGTTAAATACTTGTTGATTGTGATCAAAAACTATAAAGTAATAGTAAATATTTTCAAGAAGATTTCCAAAACTTTGATAAGACAGAGGGATGAGGTAGCTTGTTATCTGACCTTCTTTGGGAAGTAAAGTCATACTGATTTCTTTCTTTCTCCTTACCCCTCCTCCACCTCCCTGGCATCGCTGCAATGGTCCACCTTAAGGCAGGAGGTGATCTTAGCCCTTTACCTTGGAGTTGAAAGGATGGTTTATGTGGGAGGCCAGGGGATAAAACTGACAGCCAGAAACTGTCCTGGGAAACGTCAGCTACCAGATTCTCAACACAAAAACCCAAATCCTACTTATACCAAGTGCTCCATTCTGCCTAATGCCCTGTCTCTAACAACAGTTTGGAGGAAAACCTGAGGCTAAATCATGGTTAAAAAGCTCCCTGTGATATTTACTATCGCCTTTTAGTTTTCAATTACAATCAACAAGCATTTATTAAAATGCCTACTATGTACTAGGCACTAAGATACAAAGAAAAGAATCAAACAGTCTTTGCTCTCAAGGAATTTGTTTGCAAGGCCTAGCACAATATCTTGGGTCTGAGGCGCTTAAGAAATATTCGTTCAGTAGAATTTTTTTTAGTAGACTATAAGCTTCTTGAACATAAAGACTGTTTTTGTTTGGTTTGGTTTTGTATTTCCAGTGTCTAATGTTAATAGCTAACATTTACATAACCCTTATTATATGCCAACTATTACCTCATTTGATCCTCAAACCAACACTGGGAAGTAGGTGCTATTATTATCCCCATTTTACAGAAGATGAAACTGAGAAAAAACAGCTCAAGTAACTTTTCCGGGATTATACTGTAAGTGTCTGGGGCTGGATTTGAACTCACGTGTCCCTGACTCCAGGTTGGGTGAGACACTTAGGTGCCTCACCTGGCATTGTGCCTTTTCATTACACTAAGTATGTACTTTATAAATGTTTCAGAGAATTTTAGTTGGAAGAGATCTCAGTAACTATGCGGTCCAACCCATACTTAATAAAGAATTCACTCTATGACATATGGTCATTCTGATTTTGCTTGAAGACCTCTATTGCTTAGTGGAGGTGGGAAATGCTACCTGGCTGGGCAGACCTTGACACTTTTGGACAAGGCCAATTGTTAGGAAGTTTTTCCTGAAATCAGTCCTAAATTTGCCTCTTTGCAATTTCCATCCTATGCCTGTTTCTGCTCTTAGGTCCAAGAAAAACAAATCTCCTTCCTTTTAAAAAAAGATTATTTTTTTAACATTCTTTTCTTTGAATTTTGAGTTCCAAATTCTCTCCCTCCCTCCCACCCTTTTCCCAACCCACTGAGAAAGCAAGACATATGATATCAACTATATATGATATCAACTATACATGTGAAATCATGCAAAAACTATTTCCAAATTAATCATATTTCAAAAAAAAGCAAGAAAAATAAAGTGAGAAAATTATATTTCGATTTGTACTCAGAGTTCATTAGTTGTCTCTCTGAAGTTGGATAGTATTTTTTCACCATGAGTATTTTGGAATTGTCTTGGATCACTGTATTGATCAGAGTAGCCAAGTTTTTCACAGTTGATCACTGTTGCAACATTGCTTGATGTTACTGTCATGCTCATCTCCTAGTTCTCCTCACTTCAGTTTTCATCAGTTCACTTAGGTCTTGCCATGTTTTTCTGAATCATCCCTCCCCCCTCCATCATTTCTTATAATGCAATAGTACTCCATCACAATCATATGTCACAACTTATTTGGCCATTCCCCAATTGATGAGCATCACCTCAATTTCCAATTCTTTGTCATCGAAAAAAGAGTTACTATAAATATTTTTGAACATATAGGTCCTTTTCCTTTTTCTTTGATCTCTTTGGGATACAGACCTAGTAATGGTATTACTGGGTCAGAGGATTTGCTTAGTTTTATATCCCTTTGGGCATAGTTCCAAATTATTTTCCAGAATGGTTGGACCATTCACTACTCCAACAATAGTTCATTAGTGTACCTATTTTTTACCTCATCCCTGTATCACTTGTTACTTTTGATAGATGTGAGGTGGTATTGAGTTGTTTTAATTTGCATTTCTCAATAGAGATTTAGAACATTTAGAACAATAAAGATCATAGATAGCTTTTATTTCTTCTCCAAACTGCCTGTTCATACCCTTTGACCATTTATCAATTGGTAAATGGCTTTTTTTAAAAAATTGACTTAGTTCTATATTCAGAATACATTGCAAAATGAGGTCTTTATCGGAGGAAATTGCTGTAAAAATTTTTGATATTACTTCATTGTCTATGGTACCTTTTAGCAAAATGAACTCCCCCCCCATTACCTCTTTTAATTAGGTCTATTTTCCATTTTGCTTTGTCTGAGATCATGATTGCTACCCATAGCTTTTTAACTTCAGTTGATGCACATCAGATTCTGTTCTAACCTTTCATTTATTGAACTCTGCATGTGTCTTTCTGTTTCAAGTTGTCTCTTGTAAACAACATGTTGTTGGATTTTGGTTTCTAATCCATTCTGCCATCTGCTTCATTTTATGGGTTACCTCAGGGATGGGGAATCTGCAGCCTGGAGGCCACATGTGGCCCTCAAGGTCCTCAAGTGGGCCCTTTGGCTGAATCTAAACTCCACAGAACAAATACCCTTAATAAAAAGTTTTGTTCTGTAAAACTTAGACTCAGTCAAAAGGTCCACAAGGCTGCAGGTTCCCCATCCCAGGTTAGCTTATCCCATTCACACTCACAGTTATGATTACTAACTGTGTATTTCCCTCCATGCCATTATCTTTTGTTTCTTCCTCTGTCTCTGTCTCTCTCTCTCTGTCTCTGTCTCTCTCTGTTGTATCCCTCTTCAAAAGTCTATTTTGCTTCTAACCAGTGCCTTCCTTAATCTGTTCTCCCTTTTATCATCCTCCCTCTCCCCACATTTTCTTATCCCCTTCCTCTCCCATTTCCCTATTGGATAAGTTACATTTCTTATACACAATTGAGTGTGTATATATATTCTTCCTTCTTTGAACCAATTCTGATGAGAGCGAGGTTCAAGCATTGCCTGCCACCTTCCCCCCATTTCCCCGTCCACTGTAAAAGCTGTTCCTTGTATGCTTCTTTTATCCAAGGAAAAATTTCCCCATTTTACCTCTCCTTCCCCTTTTCTCCCAGTGCATCTCTTTCTCTCCCCTTCATTTTTTTAGAAATCATTACAATATAATTGACTTATACCTATGCCTTCTGTCTCAGTAAGCTCCTTTTAATCATCCTAATAAAGTTTTGAGGAGCTACATGCATTACCTTCCCATATAGGAATGTGAACAGTTTAACTTTATTGAGTCCCTTATGATTACTTTTTCATGTTTATCTTTTTATGCTTTTCTGGAGTCTTCTATCTGAATGTCAAGTTTTCTATTCAGCTCTGGTCTTTTCATCAGAAATGCTTGAAAGTTCTCTATTTCATGAAATATCTATTTTTTTCTCTGAAGGATTACATTCAGTTTTGCTGGGTAGGTGATTCTTGGTTTTAATCCTAGCTCCTTTGCTTTCTGGAAGATCATATTCTAAGCCCTTTGATCCTTTAACTTGGAAGCCACTAAATCTTGTGTGATCCTGACAGTGTCTCCCTGATATTTGAATTGTTTCTTTCTGGCTGCTTTTGACCTTGAAGCTCTGGAATTTGGCTCTACTATTCCTGGGATCTCTTTCAGGAACTGATTGGTGGATCCCTGTCTCTGCACTGAGAGCCCCTGAAGCAGCTGCAGTTGGCACCTCCAAGTGTGTGGGCTCCAGACAAACTTCCACCAGACCTCACTTTGATATTACAGACCACTCCTGCCTCCCTCCTAAGTTTTCTTAGGTCAGAAAAAATACCTCACCCCTAACTTTTTGTTGGCTCTGCCACTCCAAAATTTTATTTGAGATGTTATTTTAAAGTTGTTTGAGGGGTAATATTGGGAGAGGCAGCTGCCCCTAATCCACTGTCTTGGCTGTGCCCTCAAAATTGTCCTTTTGGGTTATAATCCTTCAACAACTTGAAGACAGCTATCCTGTTTCCCTCAAAGTCTTGTCTCTTCCACGCTGGACAGATCCAGTCCCTGCAATCAGTCCTCATATGGCATTAACTCAAGGCCCTTCACCATCCTTGTCACCCTCCTTGGGACTCTTTCAAGCTTATCAATGCTTTCCTAAAATGTAGTACTTGGAACTGAACACAATTCGCAAGATATTGTCTGATCAGAGTAGAGTCCATTGGAACTATCAGATCCTCATTCCCAGAACCAGTGCCTCTCTTATGACAATCCAAGATGGCATTCCTTTTTTTAGTTGCCATATTTCACTGTTGACTCAGGAATCTGTAGCATATTTAAACCTCCAGGTATTTTTCTTTTTCTTTTTTTTTTTACATAAGGAACAAAGCTTTGTTTGTAATCTAATTAATGATTTGTCATCAAAGGCCATTGTACTTGAATACAGAGAGATAGATACAGAATCTGAGAACCTATTCTCCAGGTGTTTTTCAGAAAAAAAAAAATACTATCTACCCACGTTTCTCCCATACTATAGTTGTGGAGCCAATTTTTTGAACCCGAGTGTAAGACTTTACCTTTATCACTATTAACTTTATTAAGAGGCAGCTGGAGGGGACCAGGGGTTCTTCCTGGGTAAAGATCAGGGCACAGCATGTCGTAGTGGGTAGATAACCAGCCTCAGAAGACTGGCATCCAATTCCTGCCTCATCCTGGCTGTGTGACCTTGGGCAACTCATTTAACCTCAATTAATTTTCTACTTCAATCAGCTCTCTAAGACTATAAGGTGCGGAGAGGGGGTTGATGTTATTTGATGGAGGAAGCTCCTGGCTGGTAGTTCCTTTCAATGATGAAATCACAGGTCTGTTAAAAACAAACAAACAAACAAAAAATCTCTTGAGATTTGATCTCTCAAAATCTTTTTGGATCCTGATTCTGTCATCCAGTACAGTAACATCCATTCCATCTTCTATGTCATCTTCAAAATTGATAAACATGTCATAAATGGAGCCCAGGATGGATTCCTGGGGCACTCCACTGGAGATCTTCTGTCAAGCTAATACTGGACCAGGAGCAGAATAAATCCCCTTAATAAAAGGATTTGTTTTGTGAAACTTGGACTCAGTCAAAAGGCCACATTTGAGGACCTAGAAGGCCACATGTGGCCTTGAGGCCACAGGTTCCCCATCCCTGTACTGGACCATTAATGACTCTCTTTGGGTCCAACCATTCAACTTCTGAATTTGTAATTGTATCAGATTCCTGATTGACTTATTTGTTGAATAAATGAATGAAAGTTCATTAAACAAAATTTTTGATTTTAATTTTAAAAAATTAAATTAAAAAGAATTTTTCTCCTAGGTACGTTACCTATAATTAGGATAAGTTACTGAGATGTTGACAATGATAACTTTATGGCTTGAGCATTTAGGCTCTCCACAGGTACAGTTAACCAAGAGGAAGAGATTAATGTTTGTCACTTGGAGACAATGTCTTATACCTTATTGGAAAAGAGGAGAGCAATGTGGTACCATAAATATGGTACTAGGATTGGAATCAGGGCACCTCAATTTTAATGATGATGATGATGATGACATTTACATAGAGTTGTAACATATATTTAAAATATATTTATTTATTTTTAGTTTTCAACATTCACTTTTGTAAGATTTTGAGTTTTAAATTTTTTTCCCCTCCTTCCCTTCCTCCCTCTCCAAGAGAGCATGCAATCTGATATAGGCTCTACATATACATTCTTATTAAACATATTTTCACATTAGTCATGCTGTAAAGAATTAGAACCAAAGGGAAAAGCCATAAGAAAGAAACAAACAAAGAAAAGAGAGAGAGAGAAAATAGTATGCTTTGAACTATATACAGACTCTATAGTTCTTTCTCTGGATGCGGATAGCATTTTCCATCATGAGTCTTTTGGAATTGTCTTAGATCCTTGAATTGCTGAGAAGAGTTAAGTCTATCAAATTTGGTCATTACACAGTGTTACTGTTGCTGTGTACAATGTTCTCCTGGTTCTGCTTACTTCACTCAGCATCAGTTCATTCAAGTCTTTCCAGGTTTTTCTGAAGTCTGCCTGCTCATCATTTCTTATAGCACAATAGCATTCCATTACATTCATATATCACAACTTGTTCAGCCATTCCCCAATTGATGGGCATCCTCTCAATTTCCAATTCTTTGCCACCACAAAAAGAGCTGCTATAAATATTTTTGTACATGTGGGTCTTTTTCTCATTTTTATGATCTCTTGGGAATACAGCCCTAGAAGTGCTATTGCTGGGTCAAAGGATATGCACAATTTTATAGCCCTTTGGGCATAGTTCCAAATCAGTGCTATAACATTTACATGATAGCACTTACATAGAGTATTTAAGGTTTGCAAAATAAATGATTTACATATTTTATCTCCTGGATCTGATACTTAATACTATCTATTTGGCCTTGGACAAGTCATTTAACTTCAGTTTCCTCATCTATAAAATGAGTGTTTTACTGGAGAGATAATATTGATGGGGTCCAAGCCCAAGCTTAGATCTTAGCACCTTGCCCCAAAGGGAATCTGGCTTTACAGGCCCCAGCTCCATATCTCCCTTTAAAAGCCTTAGCCTTACCTTTTGATCTTATTCAGATGCTCCTTCCTCCCTAGCCCTAAAAAGAATCTGGCTCCTGTTTATCTATGGGTCCCAGAACACCTTTAAATTTTTAGGTTCCTTATTGACTCCCCATATTTCCCTTTGAAAGACCTGGCCTTACCTTTTGATATTATTCAGATGCCTTTCAAACTTCCTCCTTCCATTTCCCGTCATTATCTATTCCCATTGTTTATTCAGTCTCTCAGACTTTCCAAACAGAATTCTCACCTAGACCCTTTTCCCAACCACCTCCCCCTTCCTCTGGCCACCCAAAGGTACTTTAGTGTATATAAGATCCACCCTGGCCCCCATTCAAACACTGAGACTTTCTCATGCCCAAAAGGCTGAGACTCTCATGCCTGCTCGTCCCTATGGGCATTACTAATGTTCAGATTCCTTGAGAGTCTAGCCTATATGATTTATCTCTAATAAACTTTTTCTCTGTCTGGAAGAAGATTTGAGTTGAATTCATTCAGGCAGGGCCCGCATCGCGATCTTGGGGTTCCAAGCACCCCCAAACCTCTAGACCTCTTCACTATGACAAAGAAGGGCTGGATTTAGAATTATGAGATGTGGATTTGAATCACCACTTGTGTGACCTTGGGCTAGACACTTAACTGCCCTGAACTTTTATTGCCTTTACTTCTAAATTGAAGGGCTAGATGGGCTCTAATGTCCCTTCCAGTTCTAAAATCTATGGTCCTATGTATATGTAGCCCTGAGTTCTTGAGATCTGGGATCAGACAGTTTGGATGCTATTGTTGTACCTAAATTAGATCACAGGCACTGTCATCAGATATTCTGAGAAGTCACATGTTAATAGATAATCTGAGAAGAGCTTTGTTCCAGGAACTCCATTTGTATGGGTGTTCCTATAGCCTTGAGGGAGGGACTTCCTTTCAAGCTTTAGAGTATTAACTTGAAAGGGCAGCTAAGGTGGTGCAATGGATAGAGTGCCAGACCTGGATTCAGGAAGACTCATCTTCCTGAATTCAAACTTGACCTCGAACACTTACTAACTGTGTGATCCTGGGCAAGTTATTCAACCCTGTTTGCCTCAGTTTCCTCATCTGTAAAATGAGCTGGAGAAGAAATGGCAAGTTACTCTAGTTCCTTTGCCAAGAAAACCCAAAATGGGGCCACAAAGAGGCAACTGAAACAACTGAGCAAATTAACTTGAACCTGAGACACAGGAGAGAGAAAACATATATCAGAGGAGTGGACTAGAGTTGAGACCAGGCCAAACCAAAAAGAGGTGAAAGTTCAATATTGTCTAATATTGTCTTGAATCTCTTGTCCCCTTATCAATGAACGAAATTATCAATATTTATTAGGTGCCTACTATGTTCCAGGCATCGTGCTAAGGTCTAGGGAGGTAAAAAGACAGTTCCAAAAAGAGGTAAAAGACATCCTACCCTCAAGGAATTCACAATCTAATGGGGGAGACAACATGCAAACAAATATAAACAAAGCAAACTATATACAGGATAAATAGTATGTATAGGAAATAATTTAAGAAGGGAAGGCACTAGAATTAAGGGGAGTCAGGGAAGACTTCCAGTAAAAGATGAGATTTTAGTTGGGATTTAAAGGGAGCTAGGGAGGTCAGTAGCCAGAGTTGAGAAAGGAGAGTATTCCAGGAAAGGGGAACCATCAGAGAAAATGCTCAGAGCTGAGACATGCAGGGTCTAGTTCATGGAACATCCAGGCCAGTGTCACTGGAGTGAAGAGTATGTGGCTGGGAATAAGGTGTAAGAAGACTAGAAAGATAGGAAGGGGCTAGGTTATGAAGATCATCTGATCCTGCTCCGCCAAGCTTTAGCTTCAGGTTACTCCCACCATCCACTGCCGTCATCCCCACTCCCAATGCTGCTGAATGAATCTGGAGAATATCACAAAACTGTGCTGGTTGGGTCCACTATAAACTTTGTTACATAATCTCAACTGAGTTGTCACTAGGGCAAGACTATCCTTTTATACCTCCTGAAAATTGACGTACTGATCCATTTACAACGATAGTTTTCCCCAACCTTTTCATCCCTCTTCAAACATCTCTTAGCTCCCCCTCTCTACATCCTCTTAGTTGAGAGCCTTGCATCATATTTCGCTGAAAAAAAAATTAAGGCTATTCACTAAAAGCTCTCTTTTCCCCTCCTCTTCTCACATCACTCTGATGACTTCTATCACTATCTCCTCTTATATTCTATCTCATATAAAGAGGTGGCCCTTCTCCTTGCCAAGGGAAACCCCTCTAAATGTACCAGTGGATCCCATCTTCTCCAGAAGATTGCTCTATGATCCCTACTCTCTTACTCATCTTCAATCTCTGTCTATTGTTATTTGTCTTCTGTCTACAAACATTCCCATGTCTCTCTCCACTCCTCAAAAAACCTTCACTTGCATTCCCCAATTGATAAATGGTCAAAGGATATGAATAGGTAGTTTTCAGATGAAGAAATCAAAGCTATCTATAATCATATGAAAAAATGCTTTAAATCACTATTGATTAGAGAAATGCAAATCAAAACAACTCTTAGTTACCACATCACACCTATCAGAGACAAAATAGGAAAATGATAAATGCTGGAGAAGATGTGGGAAAATTGAACACTAATGCATTGTTGGTGGAGTTGTGAACCAATCCAATTATTCTGGAGAGCAATTTGCAACTATGCCCAAAGAGCTATGAAAATGTGCATACCCTTTGACCTAGCAATACCACTTCCAGGGTTGTATCCCCAAGAGATTATAAAAATGAGAAAAAGACCCACATGTACAAGACTATTTATAGCAGCTGTTTTTGTGGTGGCCAAGAATTGGAAATTGAGGGGTTGCCCATCAATTGGGGAATGGCTAAACAAGTTGTGGTATATGAATGTAATGGAATACATTGCTATAAGAAATGATGATCAGGTGGACTTCAGAAAAATCTGGAAGGAGTGAAGTGAGCAGAACCAGGAGAGCATCGTACACAGCAATAGCCACATTGTGCAATGACTAATTTTGATAGACTTAACTCTTCTCAGCAATTCAAGGATCTAAGACAACTCCAAAAGACTCACGATGGAAAATACTGTCCACATCCAAAGAAAGAGCTATGGAGTCTGAATGCAGATGGAAGAACACTATTAGCTTTTTTTGTTTGTTTGTTTTGTTTCTTCTTTCTCATGGTTTCTCCTATTCATTCTAATTCTTCTTTACACCACGACTAATGTGAAAATATGTTTAATAAGAATGTATATGTAGAGCCTATATCAGATTGCATGCCATCATGGGAAAGGGGGGAGGGGAGGGAGGCAGAGAAAATTTAACACTCAAAAACTTACGTAAGTGAATGTTGAGAACTAAAAATAAATTAATTAATTAAAAATTAAAAGAAAAAAAACCCACCTTCACTTGACCTGTCCATCTCCAATGCCTATCTCTCCTCCCTTTTGTGGCTAAATTCCTTTTGACAGCCATCTAAACAATCAATGCTTCCTCTTTTTTCCTATTACTCTCTTCTTAACTTTCTATAGTATGGTTTCTGATTTTATCATTCAACTGAAACTGCTCTTTCCAACATTATCAATGATTTCTCCTCCTCTTCCTCCTCCTCTTCCTTCTGGCAGTTAGGGTTAAGTGACTTGCCCAGGTTCACACAGCTAATAAGTGTCTGAGGTCAGATTTGAACTCAAGTCCTCCTGATTCCAGGGCCAGTGCTTTTTCCACTGTGCCTCATCTAGCTGCCCCCTCAATGATCTCTTAGTTGCCAAATCTAATGACTTTTTCTCAGTCCTCATCCTTCTTGACTTCTTTGCAGTCTTAACTATGAATCAACCTCTTCCTGATATTCTCTTCTTTCTGAGTTTTTGGGGCACTGCTCCATCTTGATTCTTCCCCTACCCATCCAACTGTTCCTTCTTAGTCTCTTTTGCTGGCTCTCCAGCCAGATCATGCATGTTAACTATGAGCCCTGAGCATTTTCACTTGCTCTCTCCCATCCCAGGAATGTTCTCCCTCCTCATCTGCACCTCTTAGCTTCCTTTTCCTTCAAGTTCCAGCTAAATCCTCATTATTACAAGAAGTTTTTCCCCATCCCTCTTAATTCTAGTGCCTTCTCTCTGCTAATTATTTCCAAGTTATCCTGTCTATATCTTGTTTGTGCATAGTTGTTTGTGTATTATCTCTTCCATTAGACTGTGAGCTCCTTGAGGTTAGGGACCTTCCTCTGCATCCCCAGTAATTAGTATAGTACCTAGCACATAGCTAGATACTTAATGTTTATTGGCTGACTATTTTGCTTGATGATCTCATCAGCTCCCATGGATTCAATGATCATCTCTGTGCTAATGATTTTCAGATCCACTTATCCAGCCTTAATCTCTATGCTGACCTCTATCTAGTCTGGCATCTCCAACTGCCTATTGAATATCTTAAACTGTGTGTCCCATGGACTTCTTAAACTCAACATGTCCAAAGCTGAACTTAATATCTTTCCCCTAAAACTTTTCCCTCTTCCTAACTTTCCTATTATTGAGGATACCACTGTCTTCTCAGTCACCCTTCCAGTCACCCAGGTTTCCAACCTAGGTGTCATCCTCAGCCCCTCACTCTCTCTCATCTCTCACATCTAATTTGTTGCCAAAGATTTTGCTTTTGAAACATCTCTTATATATGCCCCCTTCTCTCCTCTGACATTGCCCCCACCCTAGTTGCAGGCCTTCATCACCTCATGCCTGGACTATTGCAAAAGCCATCTGGTGGGTCTTCCTGCCTCAGATCTCTCCCCATTCTAGTCAACCCTCCACTCTGCTGTCAAAGTGGTCTTCCCAATGCACAGTTCTGACCATGTCATATTACTACTCAAGAAACTCCAGTAGCTCCCTATCATCTCCAGGATCAAAAAGAAAATCCTCTTTTACCATTCAACACTCTTCATAACCTGCCCCCATCCCTACCTTTCCAGTCTTCTTATACCTTATACTCCATGACACTGGTGTCCTTGCTGTTCTTCAAACAAGAAACTCCCATATTGAAAGAAGGGCATTTTCATTGGCTGTCACTGGCGAATGCTCACCCTCCCATCTCCACCTCCTGGCTTCCTTCAAATTCCAGATAAAATACTGCCTTTGACAGGAAACTTTCTCCAGTCTCTCTTAATTCTAATGTCTTCCCTCTGATGATTATTTTCAATTTATTCTATTTCTAGCTTGTTTATATGTAGTTGTTTGTAATGTTGTCTTGACTGTCTGTTTTATCATTTGAGGATCACAGACCTAGAGGTGGAAGGGACCCCAGAGGCCATTGAATCCAACCCCTTTCCCCATTTTACAGTTGAGGAAACTGATTCCAGAAGCAGCGCTCTTTCTACTGTACTACGATTTTGGTAGTCTGAGGCATTTTTGGTGATCTTAGAAAAATTATGGTGGAGAAGACAGATGGTGAAATACATTGATGCCTAATGTTGCATATGCCAACAAATTCTATGTGTCAGTTGAGAGGTTTCCAAAGGGGTGGTGAGAGGTAAAGTGGAAGTGCTTGTGGTATAAAAATAAGGCACCAACAGTTTTTTAAAGAAAAAAATCACAGAGGATAGGAGATGGGAAAACTTTCAGATTTTCAGTGAAGGGAATAGGGTATATTCTTCAAACTGTAGACTAGCAAATAATTTCAATTCCTGGAAAATTCAAGAATGTATTATTAGAAAGATGATTTGTAAGCATTTAGAAAAGAAAGCAGCAATTGCTAGGAGTCTGCATGGATTCATCAGGAGCAGGTCATAGACAACCTTAAATAATTTTATTTTTTTTGAGAGGTTTACCAATCTGTTTGAAGAGGGGAATGCTATAGACACAGCAAATGCTGTAGCTAGATTTTATAAAGGTATTTGACAAAGGCTCTTATGTGATCCTTGTGGATAAAATGGTGAGATATGGGTTAGGGCTAAATGATAATGCATAGAATTAGATTGGCTTGGAATTAGTGGAAGAGAGGAAGGAAAGAAGGAAGGAAGGAGGGAGGGAGGGAATGAAGAGAAGGAAAGAGGAAGGAAAAGGAAGGAATAAAGAGAAGGAAGGAGGAAGGAAAAGGAAGGAAAGGAGGAAGGGAGGAACATAGGAAGGACAATAGGAAAGGAGGAAAGGAAGAGGGGGAGGGAGGAAGAAAGGAAGGGAGGAATGGAGGGGGGGAGGGAAGAAGCAAGGAAATAAGGGGAAAAAGGAGGAAGGAAGGAAGGGAGGAAAGAAGAAAGGGGGAAAGGAAGGAAACAAGCATTTATTAAGTATTTACTATATGTCAGGCACCATGCTAAGCATATACAAACACAAGCAAAAAGAAAGACAATCCATGACCTCAAGGAGCTTAGATTCTAATGGTGGGGAGGGGAAGACAACACACAAAAGGGGGCAGGAAAGTGGGAGCAGATGGGGAAAAACCTGCCTCCAGAGGAATGGTTTTGAAGTCCAAAAAGTTAGGGACAGGCTTGGGGGAAAATGACTGTACCCAAAGAGTAGTGATTAATAAACACACATCAAACTGGAGGGAAGTCTTCCCATCTAAGATTACCTTCCACCTACTCTACAATGTGACTTGTATTTATCTCTATATTTGCATGTTGTCTCCCCCACTAGACTGTGAGCTCCTTGACAGCAAGGGCTGTTTTTGCCTTTCTTTTCATCCCCAAGACTTAGCACAGTGCCTGGCACATAGTAAGTGTTTAAGCAGTGTTTGTTAATTGATTGATTGTCCTCGGTCCTGTTCCGTTCAACATTTCTATCAGTGACTTGGACTGAGGCTTTAGCCAGATCCTGCAGCTATCCTACTAAGTATGCTACTAAAATACATAATCTGAGGACACTTGGCAAAGTGAGAATTTAACTAGGGGGGTGCAAGAATAACAAGGTTGTGAAATAGAGGAGGGGAGAAACTAGCCAGAAGAACAAGGTTGTAAAAGGTAAAACAGACATGCCTCTAGTCACATAGACCAAGTGCTATTATCTTCGGAGAAATCTTGGGAACCCCAGAACTCACTTGCACTGGCTACTGTAAGATCTAGAGCAGCCTCGTTATTGGGGAACAACAAAAGAAGGCCATTGGCTAACCACAACTATTAGGCTGTCTGGTCTTTTGTAATAGATATTGACCATGTGTTTAACCACTATATCCTTTGTTGTTGTTGTTCCATCATTTTTCATATCCGATCCCTCGTGACCCCGTTTGGGGTTTTCTTAGCAAATATACCGGAGTGGTTTGCCATTTCCTTCTCCAGCTCATTTTACAGATGAGGAAACTGAGGCAAACAGGGTTAAGTGACTTGCCCAGGCTAGTAAGTGTCTGAGGTCAGATTTGAACTCAGATCTTCCTGACTCCGACCCAGCCCTCTATTAAGTAAACCTTGGTTTTTTCATACATACCTTTTTCTCATGTTGGGTCAGGCATTTTCTTCCTCTAGATACTTGAGGTTAAAATAGCTTCCTCAGCCTCCTAGAAGAATATTCATGGCAGGTATGTCAAATCTGCAGAAGACACATAGCTGTAAAGAATAGTTACAAAATTGGACAACAGGGGCAATTAAAATTATTATAAACTTAATAACCATCAAGAAGAACAAATAATAAAATAAACACATAAACTAAGGAATAAAATTTTCATAAAATTGTTAGCACTAAACAGGATAGAATTAAATGAATGAACTATAAACAAGCAAAAGATCTTTGGTTTTATGCCCCCTTCAATTTCTGTCAGAAGTTGCATTGAAGAGGCAGTTAGGTGGTGCAGTAGCAAAGTCCTGGCTGGATCTGGAGTCAGGAAGAGCTAAGTTCAAATCCTGTCTCAGATACATACTAGCTATGACCCTGGGCAAATCACTTAAGTTTTATGTGCCTTAGGTGCCTCAACTATGAAATGAACATAGTAATATCAACTATTTTCTAGAGTTGCATTGAGGATAATATGAAATAATATTGCCTGACATATAGTAGATACTTAATAAATGCTTATTTCCTTCCTTCTGGCTTTTCTATTTTAACTAAAATTATCATTGTCACTATGTCAATAACTCTGGTTCCACTAATATCACTTTGCATCACTTCATATAGGCCTCTGTATTTTCTTGTATGGTTTATATGTGTCCTTTTTTATAGCACCACAATATTCTATTACATTAATATGCCATAATTTATTCAACCATTCTCAAATTTGGAAGCATATTTGTTCCTGATTTTTTGCAATTATAGATATAGACAGTATTGACAGTTCTGCACATGTATGTCGTTTACAGGATATTTTTCAAATGTTAAGATAAAGTCCTACCAATGGAATCATGGACTTGAAAAGTCTGATAAATTTTGTGACTCATTGTTACAGCCACATTTCTCTCCAAAATGTTTGCTCTAGTCCACAGCACCACCAACAATGTATTAAATCTCTAAAGCCCCAATGACAATGAATTTTAGGATCCAATGACATTTTGACATGATAGATTTAATTTAATCTAAAATTTACTGAATGGCTCCTATGTACAATCTATTTTCGTAGATAGTGGGAATTTTTTTTCATCTAGATCTGTGATTTCATTGAAATAGGAAACTCTCACTAAGGAATTTCCCTCTACCATTGCACAATTAATAGCCAGTCTGCAATTTGTATTCCCAAAGAGTTGCCTAGGGCCCTGAGAGTTTCAGTGACTTGCCCAGGGTTGCACAGTTAGCAAGCAATTATTAAGCATTTACTATATGTCAAGCACTGTGCTAATTGCTATCTATACAGAGATAGGCCAAATACAGTCCTTGCCATCAAATAGCTCACATTATAATAGAGAAGACAGCATATGAACAACTTTCTATATTCAGTGTAAATAGGAGATTGTCTTCAGGGGAAGACACTAGATTGGGGGGGGGGCATAGCCCTCTAACAGAACATGATATTTGAACTGATTCATGAAGAAAGCCAATAAAGCCAAGAGGTAGAGGGGAGGAGGGAGAACATTCTAGGCATGGAGGATGGCTCAAGAAAAGACATGGAACTGAAAGGTGAAGTGTTCTGTGTGAGTAAGAACAAGAAGGCTCATATTGTTAGATCGTAGAGTATGAAGATGGGAGGAGTAAAGTGTAAAAAACTAAAAAAGACAGAAAGGGGTCAGGTTAAAAGCCAAACAGAAGATTTTATATTTGATCTGGGAGGTAATAGGGAGCCACTGGAGTTTATTCACTAGGAGGGTCTGACGAGGTCAGACTTGCGCTGTAGGAAGATCACTTTGGTAGCTGAGAAGACGATGGACTGGAGTGCCTGGAGATTTAAATCAGGGAGACAAACAAACAGGTTATTGCCAACAGTCCAGGCGGATGAGGACCTGTATTAGGGCGGTGGCTGTGTGAGGTGAGTGTGAGTATGGAGTCAAGTACGACACTGAAGAGGCAAGACACAGCTACTTCCAGAGAACCAGATAGCCACTATGTTCCTTCCCAGTCTATTCCCTGGAAGAGAAGTAAGACATAATGAGAGCCATTTCCCAATTGATAAATGATCAAAGGATATGAACAGGCAGTTTTCAGAAGAAGAAATAAAAACTATTAATGGTCAAATGAAAAAGTGCTCTAAATCACTACTGATTAGAGAAATGCAAATTAAAACAACTCTGAGGTACTACCTCATTCCTATCAGACTGGCTAACATGACAGAAAAGGCAAATGATAAATGTTGGCAGGGAAGTGGAAAAATTGACACACTAATACATTGTTGGTGGAGTTGTGAACTGGCCCAACTATTTGGAAGAACAATCTGGAGCTATGTAAAAAGGGCTATAATACTGTGCATAGAGTATGCACAGTTTTATAGCCCTTTTTACACAGACCTTTTACTTTACACAGACCTTTTACTAGGTCTGTATCCCAAAGAGATCAAAGAAAAGGGGAAAGGACTTATTTGTACTAAAATATTTATAGCAGCTTGTTTTTATCCTGGCAAAGAAGTTGAGGAGATACCCATCAATTGGGAAATGACTAAATAAGTTGTGAAATATGATTGTGATGGAATACTATTGTGCTATGGGCAGCCAGGTGTTGCAGCGGATAGAGGGCTGGGCCTGGAGTCAGGAAAACTCATCTTTGTAAGTTCAAATCTGGCCTTAGGCACTTACTTAGCTGTGTGATTCCAGAAAAGCTACTTAACCTGAGTTTCCTCATTTGTTAAAAGAATTGGAGAAGGAAATGGCAAATCACTCCAGTAACTTTTCCAAGAAAACCCCAAATGGGGTCATGAAAAGTTTGAAACAACAACAACTACTACTATTGGGCTATAAGAAATGACAAGCAGGATGGTTTCAAAAAACCTGGAAATACTTACATGAACTGATGCAAAGTGAAATGAACAGAACCAGTAGAACATCGTACACAGCAACAGCAACTTTTAAGGATGATCAACTGTGAAAGACTTAGCTACTCTGATCAAGACAACGAACCAAGAAAATTTCAAAGGAGCCATGATAAAAAATGCTATTCTCCTCCAAAGGGAGGACTGATGAACTCTAAGAGGAGATTGAAACATACTTTTTTCACTTTCTTTGTTTTTCTTGCCTTTTTTTTTTTTTGCAAAATGGCTAATATGGAAATAATGTTTTGCATTACTTCACATGTGTAACTGATATATTGTATATCTTTTCAAGGGGTGAGGGAGGGGCTGAAGGGAGAGAGAGAATTTGAAACTAAAATTTTTAAAAATTAAATAAAAATATTTATTTTTAATTTAACTAATTTAATTAAAAATAAAGATAAAAAGCAACTCTTTTCCCCTCACCCCAATCCCCCTGCAATGATTTTACTATCTGAGTCTTATTAGAAAGACCAAGAAAAAATGTCCAGATTTGCTTGTACCACTAGACACAGTAGAATATAAGCTTCTTTTTTAAAAAATCCATTTTTATTGATGTCCTTTTAAAAAACATCATCATAGTTTTCCCCAATATCATTCCCCACTTATCTCCCAGAGAGCCATCTTGTATAACAAATAGTATTTTTAAAAACAAAAGGGAAAAAAATTTGCACAATTGATCAATACATTGAAAAAATGTGAAAACATGTGCAGCGTACAATATTTATGGACCTCATATGTCTTCCTTTGAGCCTTGTTTGTTCATCATAATTATGCAATATTAACTTTTGATTAATTTTGTGGTTGTTCTTTTCATTTGAATTATTGTAGTCATTGTGTATGTTGTTTTCTTGCCCGTTTGCCTCACTCTGCATCATTTTGTCCATGCTTCTCTGTTCATCACATTAATCATTTCTTACAACACGGCAACATTCCATTGCATTCATGTCTAATAGTTTGTATAACCATTCTCCAAATGATGGGCATCTACTTTGTTTCCAATTTTTTGCCATAACAAAGAGTACTACTATAAATATTTTGGTGTATATGGCGATTTTTTTAAAACAATATCCTCCTTGAGATATAAGATTAGGAGTAAAATCCCTAGGTCAAAGGGAATGGACATTTTAATCCATTGTATTTGCAAAGTCCAATTTGCTTTCCAAATGATTCTACTAATTCATAATTCCCCAAATAATGTGTGTCTATTTTACCACAACCCTTCCGATATTGATTATTCTCATCTTTTGTCATCTTTGCTAATTTGCAGGGTGTGAAGAGAAATCTCAGAGTTGTTTGATTTGTATTTCTCTTATTATTAGTGATTTAGTGCCCAGGGTCTCTACACCTGGCCCATCGCTTGGATACTTACCCTTCCCGGTCTTCGGA